ACAACTGACTTCAGAACAAAATAACTTGAAACAACACAACTTACATAGCCTCCTCCAATATCCGCCAGGAAAGGAAACTTAGTAATAATTGCCCTGCAAACATCCCGTCGCTGATCTGGTGTTGGAGAACTAAAATAAAAATAAAACTTTTTAATGATGATCACATTTAAAGGCCATGTCAATTCTGTAATGTAAACAAATAATTTGTTCACATTTTGAACAGCTATATTTGTTAGACATACTAACTGTCATCTAAGGCTTTTCTAGTTCGCAATTGTAAATGAATATAAACTAGAGTATGTTTCAATACACCCTTTCGGTAAGGTAAGTATGTCACGAATGCTGTTTTAGGCTGGGAGCCTCGCTTCCATGAGTAAAAGATGCAAGGCTATTGGCTAACGATTCATGAGAGCGAGGCTCCCAGGCCAAATGACGTAATTATCGAAAGGGTGTATTAAAAATATTTCGAAAGATGCAAAATTTGGGCAAGGTTTATAAATGATGTGCAGAACAGACATGATGTGCAGAACAGACATGATGTGCAGAACAAACATGATGTGCAGAACAAACATGACATGGTCTTTAAGAAATATAAAACATTTTCCATGTTGATATAAAATCAACACAAGTGAAAGTTGGGAAAATGAGAAATTGTGTGAAAACACGATTCCTGAAGGAAGACTATCCCCTTGACAAGTAAAATCATCTGGCATTAGACAGAGTAAATACTAAAGTAGGGGACATACAAGTGTACATTAAACATCAATATAATATACATACATGGTGAATAGACATATCCTGTCATAAAGACTCTGAACAAATTTTACTCGAACAGGCTTGGGTATATTATTTCTCTTCAACAAAGCCTCTTGCACCACAGGTGGAAATCTCTCAGGCAGGTTAAATGGTGTTTGCCACATTTTTCTTGAGGGACTACAGTAAGAAGCCAAAGAGTTGATCATTTTGCCCCAGGATGGATTTACTGGGGTGCAGGTGGGCACCCACAAGCATTGATCAAAGGGGGGTGTGGTGCTATTTTCCCTACCTAATACAAGGCAATTGTCATTGATCAAACAAAATATATTAGAGACAAAATGAGATTTGAGTAATCACATGGTGACGAGAGTGTATTACAATTCAAATACAGTAGCCAAGCAAGACTATAGCTGCTTTAATAGCACTATTAAAGCTATAATTAGCTTGTTTATCTCCCAAACCAGTTTGACATATTTTTACAAACGGCCAATCACATGCAAGATTCAAATTCTGAACCTAATCAAGTGTGGAAGTGGGATTTGCAAACGATATGACCAGAGGTCTTCCTTCTTGCCTCTTGTTTATTTCGCCTCGTATAAAGAGCCTCTGGAACCAGGGTAGATTGGCTTCTACATGTATCGTATAATTTTAAACTTGAAAAATGCAACATCTAAACAGTTTACAATAACTTTCGGGAAAATAAAATGGTGACCTAATACCGTAACATAAGATTGTCAGTTAGTTCACAAGATTGTCTGTTCACTTTCATTGCTCATTCCTAGTCCCTTCTCGTTTTCTAGATGGCAGTTATGTACGAGTCAAATCCAACCGCGATCACCCCCCCCCCCCGGGAATTTGACTTTTGAAAAAATAATTGGTCAAATGCCCGCCCGAACAGGCAGAAACCACAGTCAAATGCCCTGCTATAGGGGTAGTCCTGTTTCTGGAATTTTGACTAAAATTAAATTGAACAAGTATTTCAAGATTAATTAAAAAGAACGAAAAATAGGCCAAACAGTTCTTCTTTTTGTTCAACTGGGCATATTGTTATTGTATCATATATCTATGATTGATATTTGTGATTCAGAAGCAATTTTCAAACTATCGAAAAGACGCAAAATAGAAAACTCGTAAAGTGCTAGAATGTACACATATTTTTAGGGAAAACTGCTGAGCAAGTTGTTGTCAAGTGGTCAAATGCCCGGCCGGGCCGTCAAATTCCCGACCGGGCTGTCAAATTCCCGCCGATACGGGGGTAATGTTAAGTCAAATGCCCTGGGGTTGCCGGGGGGGGGGGCTGATCGCGGTTGGATTTGACTCGTACATTATGTCGAACTAATCTCAGATACACATAACTATTGCAGTCTAAATCCCCATGTACAATGGCCAAATATAGGGTTTAAATTTGACCGCTCAATAATTTGCTGTGGGTAACATGAGTCATTTTTGGGCATATCTTTTCGTAGCAACCATGTTGAATATACTCTGTTGTATGTTCGAACAATTAAGCTTGTCCGAACTCGTGGTATTTGTTTACATTTTTGCTCACATGTTGCTACATGTGTCTTTAGGGTTGTAAAGGCAAATTTGATCAAACCGTGTTGTGCATTTTAAATGTCGCACTCTGTTAGCCTAGTACATGGTTTTTCCCATGTGAGGACCTTAGGGCCATTGCATTTAATGTGAGGCCTCCCCTACGGATGAGCTTTTCTGAAGGGTGACTCAAAAAGTCGTTTCTGAGGGGTTAAGCCTGTCAGCATCCTTTGATCTCTGCGATTTTTCTGAGGGGTAAGGGGAAAATTTACAAATTTCTGAGGGGTATTTTGTTTTGGCACTTTGATCTTTTTTTCTTAGGAGTTAAAATTTTACTGACCTCATCCGTAGGGGGGCGGGGGATTTTAAATGGAATGGCCCTTAAAAAGTTAAGAATATACAGCAAAATATAATATCTTGAAGATATGTTCACAATTTACTATTAACTTCTTGGTATTAAATGACTAAAAATCATGGGTGGATTGTAAAATTAAAGTCATCTTAGCTTTGAGCCGTAATAGATAATTAGATAGAATTCTAAACACATACCTCGATGTTGGCGAAGAATATTGTGGCGAATTTTGGTTCTCCGACATCACACTGCCGGTCTCAGATGATTCTGAACCCCAAGGACTACTAGAACTTGTCTCACACACATCACTATCACCGAGATTTTTTCGCATTCGCTTGATAACACGATGGAAAAGCTTGGTTCTGGGCCCCACTTTGTCAACGAGAGTTTCAAGCGATCCTTCAGTCAAGAAAGAAAATGATTCCCCATCAACATCCTCGGCTATAATATGATAAACAAAGTAAGAATATTAAACACGTATGAACCTTTTAACACATATATAAATACATCGACACGAATTCACACAATAAAATGGCGACTTTATACAACGACAACAAATTAATACACAGTTATATTTGCAGTCTTCGAATATGAAACATTAAGCTCACCTAAGAATTTCTCACTGAATTCTGCAAAGCCGTTGGCCTCCAGCCACTGGGAAATTTCTTCAGATGTGAATTCACAACTAGGAAGGTTGTCCATGTTAGTATTAAAAGCGAAAGACTTGATTTTCATGATGAAATACAGTATACTTCCTTCTCGGATTACAACACGTGCAGAAATGACTAAAATATCCGCTATCGCTATGACACTCGATCTATGACGCAACAATAGCGCGATTTTCATTGGTTAAAATATCGCCAAGGCGATTGGCTTAGAATCGTGAGATGTATTTTTTTATCTTCTCTTCAAAGAAGCTCTGAAATAAGCTATAGGGTTGCCAGTTTAAGTCATTTTTAGTTTTTTTACGACATATTTTACATGATTCTTTTAATCCAATTAAATAATTAAAAAGTCGTTATTGTCGCTATTAGCTTGGACTAAAACATAAATATATTAAAAAGTCGTTATTGTCGCTATTAAAGTATTAGCTTTAATTATAGACTATGTGGTTTACATGGAGGTATGGTAACTCTACTGTTAGTGCTAGGGTTACCCCGTCACCTTAAAGTAAGCTGGTAAAAAAAAAGCGAACCCGCTTTACATGAGGTAGCGTAACTCTATTTCGGCCCGTTAGCGTTAGGGTAATCAATACGACAATAGGAGTAACCCTACATACATAGCTATGCCTATATATGTGTGATCACTAAGCAATCTGGCGCGAATAGAAGCGCCCAAACGCAAAATTTTAGCGGTAAACTTTAACTCTATCTTGTTATCTCTTGAACCTTTGCTTACTGCACTTCAATGTTCAGGCCCGGGGTTTCAAGGCGGGTTACTTGAGGTATATCAGTATCGGGACAGTTTAATTTAATACAGGTATTTGGTATTTTGTCGAGACTTTAATTTTGGCTTTTGGGTATTTGGTATCTGGATCTCCTCCAAATTTTGGTACATTGGTATCTGACCAAAAATATACCAGGTATTTGGGTATCCTTAAATAAACCCCTGTAATGCCATCCTGACCGCTCCCTTGGACAAACTCATAACTCATAAATATACATATTATGTGATGTGGCGAGTTATCGCTACGGACCTCTGCGAAGACAGTAGCATGAATGATGTTATAAATCTAGAATTCGTCTCAGTGATTGGTTGATATAGTTATCCGCCAATTTAATGATTACCTCCCTGCATAATTTCAATTTATAATAGCCGTATTAGCTAAGCTTTATAATTAGCATGACCTTAAGTTACAGCTGGTATAAATAGTCTTAAAATATAAGTGTAAAATATAGAAATTCTAAGTTTCATGAGTGGTAAGAAGCTAAGTACATACATTACAATAAGGGAGCATTCATTTTTTAGCTGGGGGGGGGGCGGAGGAATTTGGGGGTGGGTCAACCAATTTTGACATGCTTCAAAGGGGTGGGTCTTTTTATAGTTTTGGTATAAATGGAGGGGGTAATAAAAATAATCAGTGAAAAAATCACCCAATATGATTTTATTGAATTTGGAAATATTTGGATCAAGAATGGTAAAAAGGTCCAGAATCTATCATTACTATCTCGTCATCTATATTACCGAAATCAGTAGAGTGTCTTTTCCGGAAGTTGAAAAGACAGTCAGAAGCCAGTAGAAACGTTCATGTTTTATGACGTCACGGTGAAGGAATGCAGCGTGGAACTTGTAAGTTATTGTATAGGAACTTGTAAGTTATTGTATATTAATAGTAACTTAAAAGTATGACAAATTGCCAATGGCTCGCCAAGCACAATATAGAAAATATACGCTTTCGAGCAAAGGGAGAACCTTCGTTCGTGGGGAGGCATTGGGAGAAGAAATGCGATGTGCCATTGTTGATAAGATCATGAACCTCGGAGGAGACATGGCAACTGGTTTTTTTCCTGGTAGTTTTATTGAAGTGGCAAATCATTTTCAAATATGGCCTGAAACGGTGAGAAAGGTGTGGACATTAGTTTGTTCTGAAGGAACTGTTAATCCTGGTCCGCATAAAACTGGGAATCCTGCTCATATAAAGCCAGAAGATGTCGAGCTTGTGGAATTTCTAAAGAGAGAAAGACCAAGCATCAGTTATTCGTCAGTGAAGGAGAAATTAGAAATTTTTGGCAACATCGAGGGGGGAACTTCGGTTAGTGCAATTGGAAGAACTGTTCGCAGCCGTATGTCAGACGGACCGTGGACTTGGAAGAAACTTACAAAACAGCCTATGGACAAATTTACAGATGGCAACATAACCTACGCACAGCAGTTCTTGCAATTCCTTCATGGTATGGATCCTGTTAAAGTTAAATATTTTGACGAAGCAGGCGTAAATGTAGCTACAGGACATCGGTCTTACGGACATTCACTCAAAGGGACCAATGCTGTGGAAATATTGAATGGACAATCGAAAGGACAATCGAAAGGAGCGAACTATACTCTTAATCTTCTATGTGGATTAGAAGGCGTTTTGTACGCAAATACTGTTTTTGGAGGAGCTGATACTTACGACTTTTTGAATTTTTGGAGTGAGGCAGTTGAGTATACAACTCCGAGTGGGTTGCCAGTACTCGATAATGGAGATGTCATTGTTTATGATAATGCTGCGATTCATCGTTTTGAAGGTGGCCAGGCAGTCGCTAGCTGGCTTAACGATATGGGCATAGCTGTTATCTACACGCCAATTCGTTCGCCTGAATTTAATGCCGTAGAATTAGTTTTCAATAAGCTAAAGACAATGTTGAAACGTGACGAGTACGCACAACTTCTTCATGTTAATGTCCCCGCCGCAATTTTTGGTGCAATCTCAACAATTTCCGAGGCAGATATGACTGGATTTTATCGATATGTAAACTACTTTCAAATGTAATTTGACATTCGCCGGACTCCATATTTATACAGTCGATTCACATTACTTTTCCCGAAATGTTTCGAACAATTAGCTCGATTGTAAACAAAGCCTCTGGTTGTCCCATGAACTTTAATAAGTCAATCGGATGCGTTGTTTACAAACTAACGAGTAACGGTTTGTGAATATGATAACTTTGGAACGAAGTTTGCAACATTCCTAAATAAGGGAAAATTCGTTATGTAGTGAAATCAAATGTAAAATCAATGAAACTATTGCTTTCTTATTCTGTGCTATTGCATTTGTATCATTGCATGTACAGTTAATAGTCATGTTGATTTTGACTTTCTGTGATTACATTAGGAATTTTGCATCGGTATATCAAAGTTTTGAAGGATTACTATAATATTTGATAGAAATACATGTTTGAGGGAATTTACAGAGTTACTTTCGCACACATTTCTAGCAAACCTTCAAAAATATAAAAATACCTGATGCAAAATTCCTGTCGACTACTACGCTCGCAGAAACTTCGTCAAAAGTTTCACCATACGCAGACATGATATAAAGTAGATTATATAGGTACCTAAAGTGGAGTTTCGCTCTACAAAATATGACCACGAAAATGAAAATTTGACCGAAAATTTTGAATGTGAAAAATAATTTGGGCCTTTTCCACCAAAGCCATTTCAGTGACAAAAGTAACAACTTAGCTACATGTAAAATTTAGTAAAAACATTCTTTTGACGGCACGGCTTTATACCGCATTACTATAATAATTAATATAAGTATTTATTAACACTGACAAAGTCAAAAGAATTATATTTTTGTCAAATGTCACCGTTATTTTCAACGTATATATTTAATACAAATGCAGCACAATGAAAACCTGTGCTTGAATACATATTTGTCTAAACATGAGTCGACAACATGTCAAAATCAACTGAAATCTACTGTAAGTAAAACTCAACAAAACTGCAGTCAAAAGTTTAATTGCGTGAATGAAACTTTATAACCGTTTAAAACCTACTCAGTATAGTTTATAGTGTTTGCCTGATAAAGTTAATGTTTTTCAATAGTAAACAAATGTCTTTGTCTTTCGACTTTGACATTGGCGGCTTGAGTGTTTTGATAGTTTATTAATTTTCGTCGACAGTTTCATCGGAATCGGATTGTTCTTTGGTACTGCTATACAGAATGTCAAGTAACATTTGTGCTGTTGTCTCATCGTCATAAGTTTCTTTTGTTTCGATGGGCATAGCTATAGGCGCCGCTGGTTGCGTCTCCGCTTCATTCTCGATATTTATATGTTGTTTATTAATGTGAAGACTCTCTCTCAATGCAATTTGTAACTGCTCGTTTTCTTCATGTTTGTCTGCAGGAGAATATAATTTGGACGAAGTGGAACTAGAACCTTTTTCACATCGACTTTCCCCGATACAGCCTGCAGACTCTGTCGAAGACCCTGGCCATGTTATGCCCTTCATTTTCCACAATTCTTTGACCTGGTCACAATGTTTAGACCCCGGGAGTCTGCGGATGCGTATATCTTCAAGAACCTCTTGCAAATCTATATTATCATCTGGGACTTTTCCTTTGAAATGCTGGTCTAGTAGACTGAGATCCATATTGATAACTCTCCAGTTTTCCCTACCATCTGATAAGTATTTTGCTTCGTTACTTGCAACAAGCCGCTTTCTCATTTTCGCGTTGAACGAATTAACTGTCTTTGTCTGCGATTCTTTTTTACACTTTAGTTGTAATTCGAGTTTCTTTAGTTTCTGTTTCTCCGTATTCAATTCCTGTTGAAGGCGTTTAAGTTCATCTTTTTCATCTTTGTGTTTTTCAAGATCACCACAAGTAAAAACAGATTCACATTTGTACGGCTTGTAAGGGCAATTGACACGATTGTGTTTTTCCCTTCTATGACATAACCCACATGATGGAGATACCTTCGGCTTCGCGACGATTGGGATGGCTAATTCAAATCGATCGACTCTATCCTGAGCTTTTTGTACCGTAGCAGCTTGTTTTGATACTTGTGTTTCAGCATCCGCCAGATACCTTTCAAGTGGTGAACGATGGTTGATCGTTTTCGGTGGATTTGTTGTCGTTGTCGTTGATGATGGCATTCGAGCTTCAAAATTCAGTTGTTTTCTCGCAGGGCGAGAAGACGCTGAACTTGATGCTGAACTTGTCGCAGGCGAAGCAATTGAGTAGGCAGAGTAATCGGAGGAGAGATCCTTGTTTGTAGAGACATCACGAAATAACACAGCATCGGGGCTAAAACTCAACTTTTGCAATTTTCGTTGTGGCGTTGACGATTCAGAAACTCTAATCTTTAAGCGACGGCTGTCAGTCCCTTCGACAGCTTTAGCACAGCGTAAAGCGTCCATAAATGCATCTTTATCGCCATCTTCTAGTCTGACAAACGTTCCTTCGTCGTCTTCGTATTCAAGTCGTAAATCAGTATCGGCGATAAAATTTAGGAACGATATTTTTTGCCGTATTATCAGTACAAGACTTTTAAAATTATCAACTTGCAAGTGATCTAGGTAAACGTTGTGGCATTTCTCTTTCCCATAAAAAACTGTTAGAATTAAACTCATTTTCGCTTCCTGATACAAACAACTTGTGGCGTGTTCACAGCTCAATAACTTACAAGTTCCTATACAATAACTTGCAAGTTCCACGCTGCATTCCTTCACCGTGACGTCATAAAACATGAACGTTTCTACTGGCTTCTGACTGTCTTTTCAACTTCCGGAAAAGACACTCTACTGATTTCGGTAATAACAATGAAGCAAAATTCGTTTGACGCTCTGTTCACACAGTCCACAGGAAAACATTTCCATGACGTTTGTCAATTGACTTCGTTTTTATCCGTTTTTGTGTGAAAACATGAATGAAAGAAAACGCAGGACCGTAGAATGATTTTAAGCGGCTACATTATCCATGACAAACTGCAACGAATGAAGATAGTACCCACAGTTTCCTGCAACTTATCCTAGTTATCCAATATATACAGTAAATTAAATACGCCTTCGCCCATTTAGTACTACCAAATTGTCAATTTCGACATACTAAAAGGCTGTTTTCTGACCATCAGAATTCTGTCAAATCTTCCCCCAAAGGCCAGGAAATGGCATTTCAGAGACTATAGATTTAAAAATTCCTCGGGCCTTTGGCCCTCGCTTTCAGCCCCCCAATCAAAAAGAGCTTCCTACGGCCCTGAAACGCTATGGAAACGACACCGTGTGGATTAATAGTTAGAATGAGGGGTCAAAAAATTTTCAGTAAAAAAAAATAGGGGGTCATAATTTTTTATCAACTTTTGTCTTGGGGGTTCCAAGTTTTCGCATGGAATTAGACATCAGTTCCTCCAACCACAGATAAAAAATGAATGCTCCCTAACTATAGTCAATCCCAATAACAAATACCAAATAAGATATATATAGTTTACAAGCAAATAGGAAAAATTTTTATTTTATTAAACTGTCCGACTGAGAGAAATAGTACGTTAATTTCATATTATTTCACATCAGAGACCATGATTTAGTTGCAACATTTACAAACAAATGGCTACCCAGGCTTATTAAGCAAATTCCTTCAATTTGAAGGGATTTGATATTTTGATCCGGACTTGACATGGTAAACCGACAAACTCCTTACAGTAAATTAAACCATGTATAAAATACCTAGTATAAAGTAGTGTATATATAGTATATGCCAAACTTTCCCTGGACGTAATATTGCTATACATCGCTTACTCGTTAATTATCTTTTTTATTAAAAATAAAATGTACATATTATAATTGAAATATAACAAAAATTTATGACAAGTTCATGGCAAAAGATATGGTAGATGTTCGATTATTTTTCATATTGGCTGTACGTATTGCATTTTGGGTATTTTGCATTGCATTTTGGGTCTATCTGTTGATTAAAATTGAGAATTTTGCTAGCTATACATGCATGAATTAAATTTGCTGTCTTGCTCGCTCCCTGTGGTAGCAATAATCGTTATACATGTCAAATTTTCTCCACTATAATAAATAACTGGACCCCCCCTTTTGAACCAATATTTTTAGGTGCCCCCCCTTTTTCGGGCAAAAATGCCTCATGACCCACCCCCTTTTTTTTGCCAGCCCACCCACAGTCATAAATAATGAATGCTCCCAAATCTAGGATTCTAGGTAAACTCTTTGTCTCTCCCCTTTGATAATTCAGCTCCTGTAACATCTATGTTCCTTCTAGAACAAGAGATACCCGGTTATTCCAGATAAATAACTATAAAATCAGTTTTAAATTAAGTAAAATTCAATAATTTTATTGCAAGGAAATTTTTTCAAAAACAAGGAAATTTTGAACGGCTGGTGGCTGGAAGGAAATTATGTTTTTTGAAAATGGAAGCACTGAGCTTCCAACTTCCAGGTTATTAATTGAATTATTCAGTTATTTGAATAATTCATTTCTATGGCTTGGCCACATTGCGAATTGATGGCTGCATAGCAATGGCAGGGATTTCAAATTTTTTGTGCGAGAAACCAGAGTGTTCTCATCTTTCTTTTTTAACATTAACGCGTTATTTAAATCACCTACGAAATAGTCACATCCATGAACAGGGATTTAAGGTCAGGTGTCCAGTGAAGCCGTGCTTTCGTTTGTATACTGTTGTGTTGTCTCTAACATCACATGTTAGACGTAAACATCGAAATGAAATATTCAACTTTCATTTGAACGACGATGCTGATATCCACACAAATGTTCCTGAAAGCGTTGCACCGAACGAAGCATTGCCATTGACCAGCGTCAAGGAAAAGACAGCTGATGAATTTTCTCCGAGACATTTGGCTCTATTTACTCTAAAGACACAAGAAATTAACCGACTAACTGATGCCACCACTAACAAGGTTGTTATTGATTTATTGTTACTGTAATACATAATCATAACAACACCTGAACACACATTGACACAAAAAGGCAGGGACCACTACACATGACAACAGTTTAACACCAATTGTTACTGTCGGTCCTATTAAATTAACCCTAAACATATTTTTTATCTAAGCTAATCGACAATACATCAGAACTACTCGAGCAACACGAAGCTCACGTGAAGGAAAAGATAAAAGTGTGCTTGGAAAAAAATGGGATTAAGCTGGAGGATGTTGATGGACTAGAAGACATCATGAACTTGCCACAAACTCCTTCTATGGACTTCTTAAAGACCACCAAGAGTAGGAATAATTATCTTTCTCAAGAGTTTAACATGGTGGTAAGTTTCATATACCGCATGATTGCTCATCAGACCCTATAACCCCCTCCCCTCGGGGAAACGTGGGCCAATTGTATGTGAGCAGTCACATCATTGTTGCCAATTTATTTATTTATTTAGTCTGTATAATAAAAATAAGCCTGCAGCCCATGGCGCACAATGAAATGTCTAAAGCCACATTATTGCCCACCTGTGCCTCATGTTTCCACAGCGTGGGGGTTCTGATTCCAAGTACACAAGGTCCGCAGGACCCCTAGGAGGTACAGAAGGGCAAGAATATTTAAATATCGTAGCCGACAAAATGGTTACAGTGGTCAGGGTGCCCCCTAGTAGAAGGACAGACAACCTCGCAGACAAGCTGTGGTCTCGAACTGCGACCACAGTATTAGCTGGTCACATGACATGTTGTATTTTGGTAGATTTGGTAACTTATCTCTGTGAACGGGCCGAGGAAGTAATTGTTTTGTTGTTTAAAGTGGAGGTCAAGTTTGTATGTACACAAACGGTTTGTTTACATTATGAACTGCTGTATTTTTAAAAATATGATGTATTGTCTGAATATCTAGCACCATGTCCCAGGGACAAATTATAAAATACATCACAATGCGAGCGGCTAATACTATAGGGTCTCAATTTAAGCGAGGCAGGACCACAGATCGAGATTGTGATATGACCCATACTTAATTTGCTTATTGTTTAGAATCCAATAGAGATTGTCCTTGGCGAAGAATACATTCATAACGAAAATTCAAGAAATGGTTCAAAAGTGAAAACGCATTCATTCCAATACATATCATTCATTAAGGTTCTTGAACAACTATTAAATCAAGTTGATGTTTTTTCACAGGTACTTAGAAATGTTTTCAAAACTTAAACAATGCATGTTTTTCATATCTTTCGTATCTATACAATCAAAGAACGGATTAATTTAAGCATGATCTGGATCAAGTGTTGTCGCTTTCTGGCCCCACAATTAGCCCTTTGAAATAATAAAAATGGTGACGAAAAGTCAATAAAAGATTGTTTATTGCATTTATGGTGTTCACAGGTGAAATCCGAGTTAGACTAGATTAATTATTATGTGCATTTTCAATGCTCATGACAATGTCTGGCCTTTTTAGGTGGAAAATACTCACAAAAGTAGAGATGGGAAAATGAGAGATCTCTGTGATGGTGATGAATTCAGTCCTACAAAGCATCCACTCATTTCTGTTAATTCAAAGGCAATTCAAATGATGTTGTACTATGACGACTTTGAAGTTGCCAACCCACTTGGGTCAAAAGCTGTTATTCACAAAATTGGTCAGTATTTTTATTACTGATAACTAGAAGCAAAACAGAATATACATGAAATAGAGTTACAACTTATAAGTAGAAATAATCATGTTGTGCTTCATATGAGTTTGGTTAGCATATATATTATACCTGTTAATTTTATACTTCTAGAATAGTTCTACTTGTTTAGGAGTATACTGATTAGTTAAAGATTAAAGCCTGGCAACTAGCATGGTAATTTGATGAGATTGTATTTGATTTTAATTGACCTTTTAACATCCATATTTATTTTACTAGGTGGTTTTTATTGGATGTTGGGAAATCTCCATCGGAAATTTCGATCCTCCTTGAAGAGCTTGAATCTGGTGATTCTCTGCCCAGTGAAGTGGATAAAAATGTATGGCATGGATAAGGTACTCAGACCATTCATGAGTGACCTGGCATTACTTGAATCAGTAAGTCACAATTGTGTAATATTCAAATAAATTTGCATCACAAGTGGTGGATCCAGCAATATTTTTATACTGGGGTGCTTCATCAGCCCTCTACCACCTTGATAAAATCCCCACTTCTGCTTACAGGGTATGACATGTTATTTAACCATTTTCAAGACAAATGTGATTTTTTCAATGCCCTTGACCCCCTACACCCCTGTTAGTCAATATAAACAGTAGGTGCATAAATGTATTCATCATAGGAAATGCCTTGACATTAATAAGTTAACAAAGTTATCAGCCAACATGTTAACTGTTAACCCCATATGCTCCTCATCACCTCGTGTATCCTACTTTAGTATTTCCCATGCCTAACATGCTCATTTTAGTCATTAACCCATTGAGTCACATTGCACCCTGATGCATTCTACTTTAGTATTTTACTCTGTCTAACGCCACAGTATTTTACTCTGTCTAATGCCAGACGATTTTACTTGTCAAAGGGAGAGTGCTGGCGATTAATGGGTTAACTGGCCTATCTGCCCATGTGTCTAGTTAACCCATTGAGTCGCATTGCACCCTGATGCACCCTACTTTAGTATTTTACTCTGTCTAACGCCAGACGATTTTAGTCATCAGGAGGAAAGCGCTGGCGCTTAATGGGTTAATTTAACCATTGAGTGGCAGCACTCTCCACTTGACAAGTAAAATAGTCTGGGTTAGATGGAGTAAAATAGTCTGGTGTTAGACAGAGTAAAATAGTCCAGAGTGCAATACTAAACTAGGGCACATTGGCAAGGGAAAAGCCTTGTATATTAATAAGAATCTAATATAATACATTATTATACTATATTAATTTGTTCTCAGGACCATGGTGTGCAGCTGAACATAGCTAATCAAGTTATGCCAATCCAAGGCAGTTTAAGTGTCGTCTTGGCAGATAACCTTGGCAGCAATTCAATTGGTGGTTTCATGGAGAGTTTTTCTGCTAACCGACCATGCAGATTTTGTTTGGGCTTAAGTTGGGAGTTTCAAGAAAAGGTTAGGTTTTTATATACTATGCAGCTGTTGAGGATATAAAGCCCACATACGAGATATTGTCTCAATACAACTAACTAGTACAGTAATATTTGTTTTAATATTTCAGTTTGTTGAGGAAGAATTTACAATGAGAACGCGAGAAAGCTATACCAGACAAATGGATCTAGTTGCAGAGGATCCAGAATCAGTCTCTGTATATGGAGTAAAGAAGCCATCTGCCTTGAATGCCTCAAAATACTTTCATGTGGTTGATGGACTTCCATCAGATATAATGCATGATATTCTAGAAGGTGATATCATAATTTCAGTTTATCTAATAGAAATAAGTGACTTTAAATTTATAAAACATTTTAATTAACCATGTTTGACCATTTTCCAATCTTGAATAACATTTCATGCATTTTCATAGGTTTGATTGCCATATTTTCATTGCAACTATGTTAAATTCAGCTCAATTTTTCAGAAAATATTTAAAATAAATATTATGATTATGATGATTAATATAGGTGTGCTACCTCTCCATATCAAATTGATGTTGAGGAAATTCATCATGGAGGAGAAATTCTTTACCCTCGACCAGTTCAACAAGCAGCTGCCAAACTTTCCGTTTGGTGTTTGTGACATCAAAAACAGGCCTAGCCTAATTAAGAATGTCAACACAGGTGATCATCACTTGCGCCAGTCAGGTACATGTAATTTGATGAACTTGTATAGTTAGCCATAGTTTGTGTGATTTAAATTCAGTGGTGCGTAGGGGGCAATGTTTTCCAGATTGCGGTCTTCTTTGTACAATTAAAAAAATAAAAATAGGAAAGGACAATTACGCATCATGCATAAGTATTTCCCTTGACTTGCCAAAACGATATACAGCGGCGACTTTGTGTTGTCGTTGATCATATGATTATTTCTAATCAAAGTCATTCCACAGTAGAAACATGTTGAATAAATTGCTGGCACCGCTGGATGTGATCATGGTTTTTGTTGTTATTGATGACATCCCAAAAATTATCTGATTAGCATACATACGTTTTCAATTGATACAGTACATGTAGTCTTGTTGTGATGCCCACCTCCCTGCTGCTCCGATGGTAAATTTTGCACCCCTCCAGGACAGCCATTCTGTACTGTACCTCCCACAAATAGAAAAGAGCGTGCTGCCAACTGTACTGTAGGTGGCACTCATCTCACTTGAATCCTATTTTAGCATCGCAAATGTGGTGCCTTTCTAGGTTGCTACCATTTTTAGTACATCAATGGATTCCAGAGGAAAATGATGACTGGGCTTTGTTTTCAGATCTAATGCAGATTGTCGACCTACTATTCTCTCCAGTGGTAGAGAAAGGTACTCCAATCTATCTTCGGCTGCTTATTAGCGAGTACTTGGATCAATTCAAGAAAATGTATCCAAATGTGAGACTGATTCCCAAGCAGCATTTTATGTTGCATTATCCGAATCAGATCAAAAGGTACAGTATGTACTGTATAGTACTTTAAATAAAATGTTTTTTGTACTGTACTGTGTGTGTGCAGACAGTGTCGATTCTGTCAGTTCGCTGCTTTCCAATAGTAATTTAAATCACACAAAGAAGTGATGGAATTATGCTGTCTTCACTGACATACCCTATAGTCTAATTACCTCCGCCAGGAGGTTATGTAATCATGTGGATTTGTATGTGTGTGTGTAGTGTGTGTATGTATGTATGTGTGTGTGTGTTTGTCTGTAAGCACGATAACTCAAGAAATACCAAACATATTCATACGAAATTTTTTTAATGCATTTCCCATCTGCTAAGGAAGAACTGATTAAAATTTGATTGAATTTGGTTAAAAACGGAACGAGAAATGAACAAAATTTTGTCTTGCTTTTCCCGGTCAAATAAAAAAATTACTGAATGCGTAATTAGGATGTGCATAATTTATGCAAGCAGTACTAAGACTATTGTCTTAGTTGCATTTCACGCGACCGAAATTCAATGTCTAAAACAAGGCTTACGGAGTTACGCATTATTGCGTTCAGCAAAGTGCCAGTCCATTCAAATTCTAATAACATTAGATTACTTCAATACAGGGTGTATAAAAAAAACGCAACCTCGGAATTTCCCAAGAAATCGACATTGTTTTAAAGACAAAAGATTTTAGCTGCCTGGGAATTTAAAATAGCACAACTGTGCAAATTACTGCAACGCGCGAGTGCATAAAGCAAAATTTATGCATTTATTTAATGACATGCACTTAATAAGTTTTTATTTTACAAGTACTGTACAGTACAGTACAGTACAACAACAGTAATATGATCTATTAGCAATTCGATTTCAATTCGTGCCTAAAATTTTTTATGCTTAAGAATTGCAAAGTGGATTTCTTAGGAAATTCCAAGGTTGCGTTTCACTTCCGAGTAGCGGGCGGGGATATGCAGTATCTGAGTGCCCTCTAGTTTAACCTTATGATTATGGTACAAAATTAGCAAGGTAGATTTATTTCCTTTGGATAATCATATTTGTTACAGCAAAAAATTTTTAAAATCAAAATTGATTTTTTGTACCCGTAAACCGCCTTATTTTAAGTTGTCTTTAAATCCCCCTAAACAGTACATCATCTGTTGTAAATTTTAGATTTGGGCCCCTTGTGCACAACTGGTGCATGCGCTTTGAAGGGAAGCATCATTATTTCAAGCTTTTGGCACAAAATGTTAGATGTTTTAAGAACATCACAAAGACACTGGCCACAAGACACCAACGGCTGCAGTGTTACTGGCTGAGTGAACCGGATGGCTTCCTCAGGAATGAGACTGAGGTTGGACCAGGTTAGAGCAATGATTTATTGTAAACTATGAGCAGTGATATAATAATAGTTTTGTTTGTGGAAACACCACATAAATTTATTAATGCAAAGCTTTTGATCCGTAAACCCGGATTATTATAGCACTGACATGAAGATCCGGACGTACGGATAGAAAGCTTTGCATTAATAAATTTACGTGGTGTTTCCACAAACAAAACTATTACATTGTTTTATCGCCATGCATGCAAACATACAAAGACCTTATTATGAGCAGTGAACTGTTTAATAGTTTTTGTTGGCTAATATATAGGCTGTGTTATTTGTTTTATGTAGGTAAAGTTTTGCAGTTAAAGGATCTTCAAGATGAAGAACGCAGATCACTGCTCCACACGTACGACCTCGACCAGGATTCAAGTTTGACGCTGTAAGTTTTTTCATGCAAAACTATAACCATTTAGCACAGTCGATTGTGCTCCACTTTAGACCATTTATTGCCAGTAGTTCAAATGTTTTCATTAATAAACACATTTACTTTCCCAGAACAATAAGTATTTATATTTGCACAACTTTTTGGGAGTGGTCATAATTTATGGGGGGGGGGGGGATAGTTGTTCATATAAATTAGTGGTATACATACATTGTTTCTTTTCTTTATAGAATTGATTGGGCCAAAATCTGTGGTGATAAATATGCAAAGGGAATGGTTGTGGTCTACCAGCAATTTATCTTTCCCGAGTTTCTGATGTTGCACAATATTTTTATGCTGCCAAATATGGATGTTGTGTTTTCTTGCAAAAAGATGCAAACAATTGCATTTAACAGTCGCATGCGGAGCTACGAAGTCATTATTGCTGATGAATTTCTTTCAGTATCACATAGTAGCTTGGTGGATCACTATCCTTTAGATATATATACCATAAATGTAAATAATATGCCTACAAAATTTGTAAGAATGAAATACGATTTAGCCGATGCAGAACAATAAAATAATTAAACGACTTCTGAATTCGTGATATCGTATACAATATAAAACAAGACGCTCCATTGAGCATTAAGTCGCTGGGCCTATGAAAATATATGCATTAGCACATATGCATGGCTATGCCCCTACCCCAGGGAAAGAAGAACTGTGCTAGAGCCCCACCCCTGGGCAAACAAATTTGGTCTATATCCCCACCCCCGGGCAATAATATTCACTGAGTCTGTTTAGTACACGTTGATTTGCACGTTATAATTCTATGGACAATATAAATGCGAAGTGCAAAATAGAAGTTCTACAACAAGAATAAAAATGCTTATTATATGCAACAGTATATATCCTCGACCCTAACTTCAGCGCATCTAGCTAGAGCTATGGTATTTTTTGTCATTCTTTGAAAATATTGCCTTTTAGTTAATTTTGAAGCTACTGTAGCTAGGTTTCGTATGTCGCTGATGGTCGGCGATGCACTCATAGATCATTAGATCATTGTTTATACTTATAGTGATCTTTGTCTATTGAAGGAGAAACTATTTCATATAGAAAAATGATTTTACTGATCAATGATCAAAGACAATGATACTGAAAGACCATCCCAAAGGCTGACTTGACTGTTTATATATAGATTTCCTTTAAAACCTTGACCCTTGTTATTACCACTACCGTAGCTTGCAACTAAGGATGAACAGTCGCTCATAAAAACATTGACTGTTTGCGTGAAAATCTTAAGTTTTCTTATTTTGACATAATAGCTATTTTTCAATAAAAATATTGATATTAATATTAAATTTCAGCCCAGTTGCACCAAAAGTTATAAGCACAAGCGCATAAGGTTTCAGATATCATGCAACATGTACACACTGCATATACCTATTTTTTGTAGGGGCTTTCACCATTTTGTAGGGGGGGGGGGCATTTGAGTGTGGTCGTGGGGTGATTATGGAGCAGTTTGAACAATGGGAAATGACCAGCTACACTGCTTGCCTGCGAATGGCCTGGGGCCTTATCTCCACGTGTTTAAGATGGCGGAACGACAAAAGGTTGAGCTGGAGGTATGCCAAGCCACAAACTCTCGTTTTCTCTCATGAATTATTAATATTATCAAATATAAAATTGAATCACTTCTCTTTAATGGCTAATGCCTTATAGATTAAAGCTGAATGTGAAATTAGCGGTGAAATCACTGAAAGGAACGAGATCAGCCATCGGAAAGGTGAGCACAGTCCGGACACAGTAGATGGTGTGTTTATAGAGTATAGTGTTGCTACAGGGACTCTGAGTACAGACAGTAAATAAACTTAACAGCAATACAACAGAATGGTCTTGTCTTACGTTTGCATTTTGTATCTGGCCTGCTCAAAAGTCTGCCCTTAAAGAATAAAGATGTCTTCCAGATATTTCTGTGCATGCATACAAAGGAGTCGCCTGATCATAATACGAGTAGTTTAACTGGGTTATACATTCTTGCAAAGCTTGTTTGTGCTGTATATATCATTTCTTTTAACACTATAGAAGCAGCCAAATGTGTAAAGTTGCTACTACTTGTCTACTAGCTTGGTTGATAAAGGCAATTGTTTTGATAGAAAAAATGTAAACAAAGCTTATGTAAACAAACCTGTTACAATCGCCACAGACACCGCATGTTAGCAATGTGTATTTAGGGATGGACCATTAAATATTTGGAAGTATGGGCAAACACCAAAAACAAAATTTGTGCCCAGAAAAAATCCAGGGAAAGCAACAGACCTATAGAAAAAAAATCGAGCAAGAAGTAGAGCAAAATTTTGAAATCCTTATACAAATCGATTTAAAAATTGAAAATAAACAAAATTGTGATTCCGACAATAAAATATTCCGCCTTCCTCTCCCCCCCCCCTTCCTCGTCGATGAACTTTCCGGGAAAATTTTAGGTCATGTTTAAAAAAAAATCTTGCAAACGAAGGGTACAGAAAAATCATGCACAAAAAAATTGTCCAACCATTCCCCCTCCCCCCCCCAAACCCCTCCATCCCTTATGAATTAAAACTTTTGGTTATCTAATCTTTTATTTCAAATAATTTAAAGTGCAGTCTGTTTATAGACATTGAGGCTAATACTAGTAGCCGAGAAAATAGAAAAAGAAGAGAAAAAGAAAAGAAAAGGAAGGAAAGAAGAAAAAGAAAAAAAAGTAAAAAAAAAGTAAAAAAAAAGATATTGAATATGGTTCTGATCAATCAGCTGAGACCATAATAATAAGTATACTGAGGAAGAAGCGACATGTCAGGTAGCTGACATTGTAATACCAAGTGCCGCTGAAGGGCCATGTCCTTTGAAGCGAACACAACCTTCAAGAGGCCTGGTCTACTGGTCTAGATTCTAGTTACATATTTCCATGTCTCACTGGTGTAAAATAGAAAATATTTCAGGCAGCATAGTCAAGAATTCAAACTATTTCCTACTTTCTATCATTGAGCTTGAGAGCTGCCGATGTATGCACCAATCTTGTACCAAGACACTCAATTTGTCGCTTCTGCCTTGCTTGAATTGAGCATTGGCTGGTCATGTAACTCATAATATTTTAGCAGATTTGCTAATTTGTTTCAGGAAAAGGATTGTAGTAAACATTAATATTGCTAAAATAGCACTATACAAAACAAAATATCTCAGTTATACTAGCTTTTCCCTAAAAACAAATGAGCAAATCCACTAAAATGTGAACAGTCAAAAAATATCACAAATTTTGTAGGCCTTAATGTGAAGGGCAGGCCGGTCAGTCTATTATGATCCGCATACAAACTTTTACACTATTCAAATTCTGGTGTATGTTTGCACTTTACACTTTGCACTTTACACTACCATAGTATCATTGTCATATCAGTTTTATCTCATAGGTAAATTTACACCGATTGACGGTAAATGTACAGCATAGTAGGTGTTAATATTTCAGTTTCTACTTTATACCAGATCAGTGCATCTTAAAATGGTCTTAGTGTTATTATACACCAGGTTCAGTGTAGATTTACACTAAGTAAGCATTCATATTTTTTACACCATACTGGTGTATATTTACACTATCATGGTGTTATCCCATACACAAGGATTGGGTCAATTTACACCGATTGAGTGTAAATTTACAGCATAATAGGTGTTTATACTTCGGTTTCTACTTTACACCAGATCAGTGTATCTTAAAATGGTCTTAGTGTAATTATACACTAGGTTCAGTGTAGATTCACACCAAGTAAACATTCATATTTTTTACACTACACCGGTATATATTTACACTATCATGGTGTTATCCCATACACAAAAATTGGGTAAATTTACACTAGTTAAGGGTAAATTTACACTGCAATAATAGTTAATACATTACTTTCTATTTCACCACAGCTCAGTGTATTTTAACACGTTCTAGGTGTAGTGATACACCAGGAAAAGTGTACATTTACACTTCACAAGTGTTGGCATATTTTACACCGAATAAGTGTATATTTACATTGTCGCAAGGTGTAAATTAACAGCGAAAAGGGATATTGTTGCACCGTTATAATGTAAATCTACACCAAGTTAGGTGTAAATAGGATATTTTCTACTTTACACCTAGTAAGTGTTACCGAAACACTAAAATAGTGTAAAGCTACACTGTGGAAGTGTAATGTTACACTTGAACGGTGTTTAATTCCGCGTTACACCTAGTTAGTGTAATGTTACACCTTTTTGGTGTTGCCCCAACACCGCGAGATTTACAGTGTATATATAGATATATATAGATATATAGATATATATAGATATATAGATATATATATATATAGATATATATAGATATAGATATATAGATATATCTATATCTCTATATATATATATATATATCTATATATATATATATATATATATCTATATATCTATCTATATCTATATCTATATCTATA